AGTGTATTTCCACGTTCACAGCCAAATTGGGATAACACCTATTTTATATTTGTTACATGTTCCCATTAGCATAGCATAAGCTAACAATAATCTTTAAAAAAAAGCTTCTTGCAGTTTAAATTGCTTTTACTTGGGTTAGGGTTTCTTAGCTTCTTAAAGGCTAAAATTTCTACTTGCTTCTCCTACTATTGTAATGTTAGGAGGGCTCTGAGGGGTGAGTGGCTTCTCCAGTGTATGTTAATGAAGTTAATGAGAGAAACATCATTCTCAAATTTCAGTCCTAAGTCTTTCTATAAAGACAGATTACTGTGAAAGCTATCAACCTGGGATCAGCCATGTTTCTCTACTGCCACAAAACATCTAAAAGGTAGGAAATATTTTATAAAAAAGAATTTTTTGGTATGAAGTGTGAATAGGAACACATACAAAACATTTAGAGGGATTTTCTGAAATTTGACTGCAGAAGTTGAAATTCACTTTAAGCACAACCTTTGTGTATCACTGCAAAGCTTACATATTTATTGAATCAGTATGGCTGCCCCTATTTACACCAACCTGACCTACTTTACATTATATCTGGAAAAACTGAAACGATTGTACATTCCCTTGCATGCAGTGAGGATCGAAGACCAAAATTAAACTATAAACTGTCTTTGTTGCTGACAGCTAAGCTAATATAGGCTATAAGAAGGTGAAAGAGATACTTAATTATCTGCTATTAGTGAAGGTAAATATAGCTCTTTCGTCCACTTTTAATGCCTGTGACCCTATATAAAGCTTTGTATATACATATTGTTAAGAAACATTACAATTTGTAATATAATATAATCAAACAGCACCACTCGTGTAAATTTTCAGTAACTACTTTATTTTTTTGTTTATTTTATTTTGTCCAGAATGCAAACCTTTGCATTAACTTTGCTATTTTACAATTTTACAAACTAGGTATAAAAAGACCATAAATAAAAGGAGATAAGTTATGTGTACCTACGTTTTGGGGAAGAGGAACCAGTTACCCTTCCCCACGCCCAAAAAAATTCAAAAATTACAAATGAAACAAAAATAGAAAAACATAATTCTAAACAACATATTAACCAAGAAAAATGTTCCGTTAAAATGCTTTTTTTTTTTTTTTTCTTTGTTTTTTTTAGAATAAGCTAAATTAAAATTCCTCATTTGCTGTGACACAAAAAAAATATAATGTCCCTTTTCTTTCTCTGGTTAACATTTGGTGGGGGTTAGGTACAGGTTAGGAAGGGAAAAATACTGCTAATGATAAACTGGATCACTCTATAAGGTTTCTGCACGGAACTGAACCTAAACTATCCTCAGGCCCAGTTGTAGGCATGTAAGTTAGCGGTTCCCATCCAAAGTCGGGTATTGCTAGGTATACAATTCTTGCAATATATAAAGAAGGAAAAAAAAAAGTTTTGGCAGTAACACACAAATACTGATTAATGCATATCATCTCTCCTCTGCAGTGTACGTGCAATGTCAAGAAGCACAATGGACTCTCTTGGGCGAAATGAGGGAAGAATATTATTCAAACAGGGCTAACATAAAATGAAATCTGAAGCCTAATTTATGGCAGTCTTTCCAATTAGGTCAATTAATATTCAAATTGCATGGCTTTCGAAATGAGAAGTGTAACTCCAGCCAAAACTTTTTTATGGGGTTGCAAAAGGTTAAATACAGTATCAGGCTTTTAATGCTATCTGGGCAATTGTCCCCATTGGGGATGCAGTGAGGGATATCTTCTCCAACAAAACACAGAGAGCAATAAATGCCTAACATTTTTTTTTTTCTCTTTCCACCACTTTAAGGTGGCCATATCGTTAAGATTAAAATAAGTCATTTGTTAACAATCTGAACACTGCACAGTATTTCCCTGGCTCAAAAACAGCCAGGCACTCATTCAGACTAGTTAGTGCTTCATGGTAATCCTGACACTACTGAATTACCATGAGCGATGTGCAGGCAGTTGGCATCACTGGTGCCAAGTGGATAGTGTGGGGATTACCATGTGAATACCAAATCTTGGAAGCACTCAATATTTCTTAACATGTTGGAAAGTCTCTGCCTTGTAGAACGATTCTTTTATAAAAGGAAGAAATCCTTGAACTGTATGCATAAATGGTGCTAATCAAGGGCAGCAAGCAATCAAGACAGCAACAAGCAGATATCACATCTCAAGGTGATGCTGATGAGAGATCTGCTTGGCTGATACCAGCCTTTCCCTAGTGAGATGCACAGAGACATGCATATTGTTCTATACAAATGTGTATATCTCTGTGCTGCAGACACCTGCTAAGACTATACACGGTACTTCTTTTCTGTGAAGCATTGGTCTATAAGTTGAAATATCCAATCTGGCTGATTGCCATCCATTAAGATCTGACATATGAGGTTAATTACTAATGTTTGCTGCTGCCCATAGACATTATGATCATTATCCAACCCTATTGAGATTGCTGATTATATCTATTGTCTATGGTTACTTTAAAAAATCTTCTGGGTTCAAGATATAATTGCCAGATCTGATTTTTTTTTTACTAACCATAAGCCCCTCATGCCAAAAGACAGTCCACCATGCTTTCAAATGATCTTATTGTTCTAGGGAAAACACCATGGCTTTGACATATGCTGTGATTCTTGGCTACGTCTGTGTTACAAAATGAAAACCTGATAAGATTTCCTGCTCTCTACCTTTGTCTTGACTCGTTTTAAAATCCCTAATGGTTGCATGTATATTTTTTATTTCCACCTTTTTTTCTGAAAACATTCTTAGGCTCATTGGTTTAAGAGTTTAAGTGATCACACATGGAGGAACAGAATCTCTGTAGGGAAGGATGGTGATAAAACCTGCATTTGCAAGCTTTAAGATTATCTGCTAATCTTAAAATCTCATAGTGGTCAAACTGCACAGCTTTGAGGTGAGGGAGATCAGACAAAGACAAAGGGTTAAGCATAAAAAGCACAAAGATATAAGTTTATATATATGAAACAGATCCTTCCTTATATATATATAAACTTAATTGGCAGCTCTGCCTGGTTGTCACTGGTACCAGTAGGATGCGGAAAATGGATAAATTGCATAATTTTTCTTTTTTCTTTAATGGAAAGTCATATTACAATACAGAGGCCATGACAGATGAGGAGCAGGCCTCAATTGGAGTGCATCAAGTCTTTGTTGTCTTCAGGATTAACGCAAAACAGTTCCTCGGCCCATGGCAGGCTGGGTCCATGTTTAAGGTTAGTTTGGCATACAGTTAACTCCTTATTGACTGCAATGTGCTGCTCACACCTAGTCCTCTTTAATGTGCAGTGGAAAAGAACAGAAACTGGTCTTGGGTGCTATTCCTCAATTCCCTTTTAAAACAACAAGAATGGAGATGGCCATGCGACCTCAGTGATCCGACTTACTGAAGGCAAATAATATATCCAGGCCTTGGAGACATGGCATCGTTAGTAAGCATCAGCTAGCTTCCATTGTCATTATACACCAGTGCATGGAATACACAGGAAGACCTGTGGGACCTCGTGGAATTATTTTCTTGCTGGAGAAACAGCAGCTGTGTCCATGACATCCTCAGAACCCTCTCTGAAGTTTCAAGAGAATCTTTTTGGCTTCAGGTCAGTTTTGTCTGTGGACGATAGGCTTGCCGTGAAGAATTGACAAGAGTGCAGTTCCCTGAAAGAAAAGCAGACTCATTTTCAGATTCCTGTAACAAAGGGCTGAAAGCAAACACAATTTCTGCCTTCCAAAAGATTTCTGTACTGGATTCAGTTAAGAAGTTATATACAAAATGGGCCAAAGTAGCATTCAATAATTTATATCATCTCATCAACATTTCTGATTGCGCTTTCTGAGAAAATAAATGGTTCTCCACAAAAATTAAAATCTCACGTCGAAGCTGAGAGAAACATAAAACAGATGGGGATCAGCACGAGATCCAAACCTCTCACTTCTCTGACTGCAAACCAGTGGTGGCTATACATAGGCAGATGGTATGACAATGACAAACATCTAGCAACTGTCTTTCTTTAAACAATTAACAACCTTTGCTTTCTTCCCATTTGATTCACCTTTTCAAATAACTATTTTTTTTAAAACATTTTTCAGAACAATTTTACATCTTTCTAGCATACTTCACTGTATGCTGCATGCTTTCCTGGCAGCTCCTGTTTTTATTAATCTGTTTCCAACTACACAATTATTACTAAAATGTAATCTTTATTATATTGGATATAATTATCATATAGAGTAGATTTTCATAAGTCCTTTAAAAGTGATGAACCTATAATGTCCAATGATGCTGTTACAGACTTCAGGCCCCAGTGCACACTGTGGATCCACCACCTTTTCGCTTGCTACCCCAATGCTAACTATAAAGCCACCTCCCTTATTGTTCCTACAGCATCACTTACATTAAAAGAGAACTATGGGGTAAGTGTTTTTCCCATAGTTCTCACGGGAGGACATATGAAACAAGATCCCTCTCACAGCTGCAACCCCCTGTGCCTCTAACACCAATGGCAGATGGCCCAACAATATTCTACCAAGGGAGATAACAACTCACCTTTATATCCCTTTCCAGACCATCGTGCTTAGGTAATACAAACACATTTCCCTCAGATCTTGATGTAATTTTCTCAAACTAGTACATGACCACAGGATCCAAAAATACACTGATGCACAGGAAGCAGCCTCCGTTGGTCCCTTATTCTTCCCCTGCAATGGTCTGCATCTCCAGCAATAGATTATGTGGTTATTCCATTTGCCCACGCCGATGAAGTGATGTATCCATTCCATAATGATGTCCATGTTGCACGCAAAATCAACTCACGATGAGATGGCGGAAGTCCAGTAAATTATATGCATCTAGTGACATGAGAGCTCCCCCTTGGATATGACCATCTTCCAGATGTTATTGTGGCACAAATGACTATATTTTTTTCCATGTTGAATGGGTTTCTCCTCAACCCCTTTGATAATTTAAGTCTCTGTCCGGCGGGGTGAGGTTAATGTAAAAAAAAGTGCAGTTCTTCAATTAAAGTGCATGGATGAGGTAAACTAATTTTTCAAGAGTTCAGAGTGTGTAGGTTTGTCCTGATGCACTATTAAATCAGACAGGAACCATCCTGCCTTGCATCTGTTGCATCTGGGTCCTCATTCCCTGGACACTGCTCAAAATCTTGTTCTGGTGGGCAGGGGAAGTGATACCAATCCGGGTTAGGTCACTGCACAGAGGGAAGAGGAAAAGATTATTCACGGTCCCTGGAATTTATATCTATAACTCTGAAACTTTTCCTCTCTTTCATGCACATCCCAGCCCCCACCCCACACACGAACACTTGGTACTAAGGTCCTCCAATAATTGAAGGATTGAAATAAACATTAGGGGAGAAACCTGTTGTGATGCAAGAAGGGAAAGCTAAAGGCAGGGTAGGAATCTCATGTCATGCCACTATGGCAAGGTGGGAACCTTGTGTCAAGTCAAGACGTTATTCCACTTTTCTGTGCAGCAGAAATGGTCCTATACAAACTAACCCAGAATTACTCTTCCCCTAACTACAGGCAAAGCATATAAAATCATGATCATGAATGAACTTACTCTTGGTTCACGTGCACGACTGATTCCAGGTTGTTAAACCCAGCTGCTGTGAAGTTATCTTTGTATCGCTCCATTTTAATGGCCTGCAGCCAGTCCAACACAGAAACCACCTGGGACCATTCAGGCGAGCCAGGGTCCAGGAGAGCAGTGTTTGTTCTGAAGGACAGAAATCATTGGAATGTCAGCATCTTTTAGTAAAATAGAATCTAAGGTCACATTATGAGTGGCTGTTACAAACTGATACATCACTTGAACACACAGAAAACATTAGACATTATGTTCCAAGCATGAATGCAAGTAAAATTTCTGTGTTCCCCCGGGCAGCCATCCTAATTCCAGCTGTAGTTTTTCTAATGCAGGTTAGCAAATGTACTAAAGATTCTAATTGGTTGCTATAAATAACACTACACATTTAAAACAGTTCACTATATAACACTAACATGTTTTCTTTGATTCTCAGTATACAGGGAAGTTTTTTGTGATATTTAATAAAAGCAATGTTGCATAATAATGTTTTTCTGTAGACGCTAGCTCACACTGAACTTCAATTATTTGTCTAGAGGCTTTTTTTCTGTTGTCTAATAGCCGAGATATTATCTGTACGTGAGTGTGGGAAGCCTTCTGTAAATTCCCACTGTACAGTTTCTATCTCTAAGTTGTGGTCTAATCAGTCTTGCTGTACTTATACTGCTTATATTGAGCTCAATCGCAATGAAACAGCCCAATCAACTAGATACTGGCCAATTTCTCTGAGAGCAGACAAAGCTCAGCATGCAGGGGAGATAATCCGCTCGTTAATCAACATGTTCCTGAACAGTACATATGATGGAATTGGTGAGAATAAGGGGGTCTTTGAAGTAGGGTTTGGGGAATGTAATTCTCCTTGGTTCCCTCTGTGCTGGACCTTTGGGGTAATTGCTTTAGCAGTTTCACTGCCATGATTAGTAACATATCCTGTAGCTGATGTGCAAAAAGGCCAGACAAATGCTGTGGCTTTTTTACTCATACTGAGAAAGAAATCAAGTCTGCTCTTTAGTGAGTGATATAAGTACAGAGAAAGGTGAATTCTTAAAATTCTGATAAAAGTAGGAGTCCTACATCTAAGCTTCACCTTGTGCCTGCTTGATGCAGAAATGAATCAGCGGGGATCAAGAACCCGGCTCACCAATATAAGATTTTTCAACATCCTTCACTGTGATTGGTAGATTGGGTTTTACTTATGACTTTGGATTTTAATGGACCAATAAATCTACATCCCAAGTTGGCTTATGTAAAAGAGTTAATAGCAATTTCAGAAATATATGTCAATGCTTTTAGAAGCTACGGAGTGCTGTGGATATTTGAGATAAAGCTATTGTAGGAAAAATGATAATATATGTAATCGCCCTATAAATAGTGAACTCTGCCCAGATCAGGCACTGAAATTTATTCTTTACTGGCTACGTGACACGGCCAGACAAGGCATCAGAGAGGTTAAAATATCCTGTCTATTGCTTTGTTCCCCCAAAGATGAGCCACTATTGGGATTGTCTGTGTGCTCTTACTCCCTCTAATATTTGACCCAAACGTTTATGTTTAAGGCTGAAGCAGGACAGAAAAATATCCTTTTATGGCTATGGCCACCTTGATTCTCTTGATAACCCAGCATGATTACAAAAACAATGGGTTGCTTTAATGGAGTGCATTTAATGGAGAGCGGGGAATTAAAATAAAGTAAAGTTTGTTGTGAAGAGATGTCACCAGCACACCAGCATGACATACACGTCAATATTCAGTGAATCTTCGTTTTTATTTTTCAGAAGTCACTCAAAGTAGAATCAAGCGCTTTCGGGGCCACGCAGGGTCCCCTTCAACAGGCTTAAAGTGAACGATTCCTATGGGAATTCCGGTAAGGCATGCTACAGGACTTTGGACATTAAAATAAAGTAAATCACATAAGGCAAAAGAGGAACAGAGAGACTAAGCGGCAGATTAAAGTTTGTAGCAAGGTGGAGGCAACTTTGTTTGGAGTGATTAGGGACTTAGAAAATAGGCTGATATACAACAGGTATTTAGGAGCCCATCTTAAAATGTAGGAGTTACAAATTTTAAAGAGAAGTGGTCCTAATTAACCAGCTCCTCCACCTATCTATTTTTAAAGTATAGACCTGCAGACAGTGTTAACAGCAGCATGGAGCTGTATCATTATTGCTAATACATCTAACATTTTCTCAATGTGAGTCGCCCTGTAAATACCCATGGGAATCTGCTAGCTTTCTAAAGTGTCCGATCAATATCTATAAAGAGAGATACTTAAAAGTCTGGGCAGTGTGGTTACAAATGTAAACTGATCATAGACAGATTCTGGGTCAATAGAAGGAGGGGGAAATTAAACAGTTGCTGTTATAGCTCTTTCCTGGTTGAATAATTTAACATACTGATAACAATATGGCTGTGTGGACCTCACCTCTGGGACTTATAACCTATATCTGCTGCAAAGGCGCTATTGAAGGCTAGTGCAATTTAATTAGCAGGCCCCATTTCTGCTTTCAGCTCCTCATTTTTGTGCTGTATTGAAAGATGCAGTTTACATACTCATGTATTTATTACCTTGAGCCTTCTAATCCAGTCCTTTTTAGGCTGTTTGGGTTCCGGATAAGCTTATCTAACATGCTAACAATCTGTCCAAACTTGGGCCGGTCACTGCGCTCTTTCTGCCAGCAGTCCAGCATGAGCTGATGAAGAGCGATGGGACAGTCCATGGGAGGGGGAAGACGATAGCCTTCTTCTATGGCTTTTATCACCTACAAAAGAAATGGAGTATTACAGATGGATCATTCAACACCACAGATGGGGTGACCGTTCATGAATCAGCATTTAGGGACCATTCACACCTAGGCGACAGCGTTTTTGTGCACGTTTTTGCACACTTTTACGTGTGTACATTAGGTTGTGCGTTTCTGCGGGGCAGATTGTGACACATTGAAGTAAATGGGCAAACGTGTCTAAAAACACACAGAAGCAAGCAAAAATTGTTGTGTCGCCAATTTCCAAGCTACGCGGGCTATAGAGATAAATGGGATTTCTTGTCTAGAGCATTTCAGTGTGCACAGATACGCTCGAACAAAATGCCTAGGTGTGATCAGGGTCTAAGTGTAAGCTTGACATCTACATGTTTGCAGTAATCAGCCTGAAAGTGCAAACACCATAATAAATGAACAAATCATATGTCACAGCTTAGTGGATGTTTTCTCTGGTATGATTTTTGCTCACAGTTGAATACTGTTGTGTAATTATTTGCATAGCGTGACTGTTGCTATCTAGGCACATACAATAGCTCATTTTTATTTGACAGGTCTCAAAAATGTACACTGTTAGAGGATGAAACATGCTCTATAGTCTAAAGGGTAGGACGTGACAGCATGTAGGTGGGATTACAGGAGACATAAAATAGTTCAAAGGGCAGACAGGACCCAGGTAAGTGGCATAGATTATGCAGAATTGTGGGATTCTAAAAAATTAGCTAACCCTGACTATGCAGCCATATATCATAGGTGCTAGTTTTTAGGGCAAGTGCATTAGTTCACATATATTTTAATAAGAAATATATGTAGTTTATCTGTGTTTCATCCGTCTGCTTGGAGTTCTCCTTCAATATCATAACTGAAGGACATTAGGTTCTATCTTCAATAGAAAACAGTGTACTTAGTTTAAAGTGCTGAAACTGTCTAAAATATCACTTTCTATATTATGTTTCAGGATTTGTGGGCCAGCTGACCCTTCCATTATATATCCCTGGCCATCTCTCCTTGGAGCTGGCAAGAGAGCATCGTATTTCCAGCTGCACCTGGACGAGGTCTAACTTGTGTGATGACTTCCTATCCGTATGAGAGAAAGAGGTATAAATATCTCTGGATGTGCCTGCAGAATAGAGGAAACCTTTGCACAATGCACAATCCCAGCCTTGGTATGGGATTGCACTGTGGACGCCATACTCAAGGAAACCGAGAAAGAAAGAATTCTGCATCTTCCTCTTGTCATTGTACGAATATACAATGTGGACTATTTCCCTGTTGCTATTCTTAGGTTTCACTGGGTCATCTAGAGACAGCTGTCTGACTGTGATCCCATCTGAGACTCTACAGATGGTACACTTAAAAAAAACTGATATACATAATTTAAAGAAGGCCATTTAGCAAATTATTTTTTTAAGGCCCCTTAAGGACAGCCATTTAATTGGCTCAAGAGATAATTACAGCAGATCACTATGTGTTTTACAACGCAGGTTCTTCTCCCAGCAGCGAGTTCGTTAATGACGCATTGAGCAATGTAGTTATATAACGGATACCACCAGTAGCTTAGGTTTTATATGAAATGATGTCATACTGTTAAATAATCAGAGTCCCTGCTATGGCATCACCTGTGGAATTCTAATTAACACAGGAAGTTCCAATCAGTGCTGCCCATATATAGAACAAGTAACATATATAGAAACATAACGTATTGCTGCTAAGAGATGGGTGAGTGAGGAAACATTTTATTTTTAAATCAGAAAAATTGAATTCTTACATCTTGATTGGACATATCCCAATAAGGCCGTTCACCATACGACATGACTTCCCACATCACAATTCCATAACTCCACACGTCACTAGATGATGTAAACTTCCTGTAAGCAATCGCTTCTGGTGCGGTCCATCGGATGGGGATCTTACCTCCCTGTATGACATAACAAAATGTGCATTTATTTCAGAGTTGGACTAGTTGTAGTGACCTACAAAATGCATAATGGTCTATAATAGCAGATCCCCTTTCTATAACACATTTAAATGTAATCTATCATGTGTGCCAAAACAGAGGAATGCAGCAAATCAATTTATTTAATTAATGCCTTCTGGATCAATATGCTGGGTACTGTTTCAGCCATTAAAGAGTGCATCCATTGCATAACAAAGCTCTGTTTAAAAGCAGAACATTTCACACACATAGCACCCAATCCCCAGCTGTAGTCAGAACATAGACAGATGGTTTTTGATTTGTTACTATGTGTTAATGCAGTCAATACATGAATGTGTATTAACGCATTAACTTTATTTCTGCTCCCTCTGATACTGTAAACATTTCTTTTAACAATTCTTTAATGTAAAAGACCATAATTAGATTCTAAGCTGATGTCTTCAAATCTTATGAAAAAGAAGACACAAAATGTAAATGATCGAGAAGTATTTCATTTTATATTGTTTATAAATTGTCCTTAAAGTCAGTGTGTCTATTACTGGTCACATCCAAAGGTCTCCTCCAGCCACCGGAGGCTGCCACCAGAGCAGTGCTAGTTACAGGGCAGCACTCATCCATACAGTATCATACACAGTGAAGTTAATGTCCTGGAGCTAGCATTGCTTTAACTCTCAGTAGCCTCCAGAGCTGGACAGGGGCCGCAATTGTCGTGTTTAGACCCGTTAAGCCCTGTTTTCAGGTCAAAAATACTGTATTTGAATGCATGAAGTGGAAAAAAATCAGGTAACTTAAGCCACGGTACAAACAGCCAGAGTAAGAAGTATATATTATTCTTATTATATGAACTAAAAATCCTAAAAGCGCTGGGCTCGCCGACTGGTCTTGTCTGAAACATGGACTGCTATAAAAAATGTCTTCTCCTTTAAATTAGCTTTGTAATGAAGACAGAAATAGCTTACAGAGTTTCTATCACAGATTCATGCTGTCAGCAGTGGCCTTAATCAATTGCTCATCTTGTCTGTCTCAGGGAAAGGTGACTGCCAGTGACAGCTATGGCCTGCTGTCATCAAGCTGTCACTACACCATTTATGAACATAAAATATTGCATGATTTAAAGTGAGTGATGAGACTGGGTAGCACACAGCTATGATTTATGTTAGGCCTCAGCAGTGAAGGTGTTACACATCATCTGCAACAAGATCCGTGCTGGTATGCCTTCAATTAATGGAAAAGCCAACAAGGGCTTGGCTTCCGCAGCAGGCCTCAGTGCTTGGTTAAGTTTGTAAAGCGACTCCTTGATTTTTATCTTTGCTCGATTCACTTGGCTGAGATCCTACAACTGATACACCTAATTGTTGTGGTAATGCACAAAGTGTGTTCCCTTCCCGTACCCCCCTCTCCCTTAGAAAACTTTTTTTTGTTCGTCTCAGAGCTGTTTATGTAAACTCCGAATCATGGAATGTAGCTTGGAAACAAAGAAATGCACAGAAGAAAATGTGAGACCAGATGCCTTGCCTGTAGTTTTATGGAGATCTGTTTGCACCTACTTTGGTGGCTGGGAGAAGTCATACAGTTGTGAATTACACAATTTACCCTATTGAATAAACATCCACAAAGCTTTAAAGTGATGTTAACTCTTTGAAACAGGGTATACAGCAGCATTTTCTGAAATTTTGCAAGTTTGGGTCTTGCTATACAATGTCTTAATCCACTAGCAATACACCAGTTCTAAGCTGTCTGTTAGCTCTCAGGAAGTACACCATCTCACAGGAGACGTATTCCTTCTGCCACAGGATTGCAAGATGTTATTTAATCCCATTGAATGTTTATCAGCCATGTAAATGTCAACATGTATTTGTGCCAGGATGTTATATTTGAATCTTTCGTCAACGGAGTGATTTTATCAGAATCAGTATCAAATTGTTTGGAGAAAAACAGCAATGTCCATCTCCTCCTAAATCTGTTCATGGTTCAGGAACTACTCAAGTAAACTAGTCAGGATTTACAACTTTAATAGCACCGAAGAGAAATTGTGAAAACACCAGCAGCTCTGTTAATGGTGCAGAGAGTGCAATAGATGACAATGGATCAACATCCTGAAGTGATATGTCATACATTAGTGGCAGCAAATTTACATGGAATAACTGAGATTATCAGCCTACTTCCTGCCAATTTCAGTTTCTCTAAAGAGGAAGTCAAGTTCTCGTAATAGCCAAAAGGTACTGATTGTGGAAATCTGTCCAGAACTGGAGTTATGCTCTTTTATAGTATACAGGGTTTTGCTATATACAGTGATACTTATAAGTCATTCTTACCCTGGTGGTATAGGCAGCCTCCGGATCATCCTCTAAGACACGGGACATGCCAAAGTCAGACACTTTGCACACCAGGTTGCTGTTGACGAGAATGTTTCGGGCAGCTAGGTCTCGGTGTACATAGCTCATATCAGACAAATACTTCATGCCAGATCCAATACCCCGCAGCATGCCCACCAGTTGGATGATAGTGAACCTTCCATCATTCTTCTAAAACAAAAAACAGTAATTAGTTATGTCATACCATGGCCCCAACTGCCCCTCTTTTAGAACCAATTCCTCTATCTTTTCCCCTCAAATGCCCCTTTTTCTGGGTCTGATGAATAGGCTGATATAAAGGTACTGTTGAATTGTCATATTGCACTAAACAACCATCTAACCTTCAAAAGAATGAAAAGTAGCAGTAAAATTAAGCAGTGGTGGATTTACTGAATCAATAAATTCTTCATGCTCTTCATAGCTAGGGTTTAGTAGAGGCGTATCCTTATCTTACATACATTGTGTTATAGGGCGCCCCTCTTTCCATCTAAGAAGGTTGTACACAGTATAACAGGACAGTACCACTTACAATTTGGAAATCTTTTTACTATATGTTCTAGTGACTGGATTGAATGTTACTTTTAGAAATACTGTCATTTGAGATCATTTCTGCTATTGAACATAATGAGAGTGCCCTTTCATGTATATATGAAAAAATTGCTTTTAGCTCAATATACAGGTATTCTCTTAAAATTTAGTCTACTTTAATCAATTGAAAAGTTAGACTTGAAACAAGTGATTTTTGGAAAATCCAGTTTTGATGGGTGGCAAGCTGCCACTTGTTTTCATTATGAGAACAAATTTGATTCCATTGTACGCATGCAAGCATGAATCATAACCATTGTTTCTTTCAGTGATATACAATATTTGATTCATATGTTTTACACAAGCAATTGGTTGCTGTCCAGTCAAATAGAGATCACTGGAAAAAAATGTTCCAGGTGGATGCACAACTGACTCCCTAAACACCATCTACATCTATGGGAAACATTTAAGCGTCAGAATAGGTGAACTGAATCTATACTCTCCAAATCATGGGGTAGTATTTTTGTTACATATTTTATAAGCACTTGATGGTTTATAGAACAATAGAAAAAAGCTTTAAATCAACCAATTTTAGAGTAGACGATATAATAGGTTGTACCTAGGCTGTTGTTGCTTTGTTGTTGTTAACTGTTCATTGGCTAGGAATGAGAGGTTGGATTCCTCAAGGCGTTTTTATGCAGGTTAGTTTAAGCTAAGTTCAGGCAAGTTGTAGCACACAAGGATATATTACCAAAATTATAACTCTGTTTTATTAGACAGTGCCATACAAAGTGTCTATACTTTTGTAACATTAAACCAGACACAGACAAATAAGAATACAGCCTGGTAAAAATAACCTAAAAAATGAGGATGTATGTGAAGCCACTACTCCTCCTTTGAGGGCAAAAATAGGAAGACAAAGGATTCATCTTCAGTGATTCAATAATGACTTCCCATATTTTACTGTAGTGTAGAGACTGGGCTGGGACAGGTACAAAATTATTCAGGACATCAGGTCCCAGTCTACATATTATCATCTTTTCAGGTACCGGCATTTAAAAAAATAATACAATTTCCCATTATACTGGAGTCTACATCAAGCAAGCACAAAAGGGCTGAGAATCTCAATAACTCACCCGCAGAAAAGCATCCAAAGAGCCATTCTCCATGTATTCTGTAATGATCATAACTGGTTTACCTATGAATAAAAATGACACTATTAATGACATATAATGTATCGATGTTGAGCCAACCGCTGAGTGCTCTACATTTGCAAACATTCCCATACGACTAAGCTCTGAAATGCTGTCCTTAAACTGGACTGTCCTCCCTTTATATCGCAAGAATTACCCTTTCATTGTAATTCCGACCTAGCATGTGAAACATGAATCTCCCGACTAATTCATAGCGGGTGTCTGTTTCTTTGCATAATTACCATCTAAATGTATATGGAAATGTAAGCACTTTTCTGTCTCAAAGACCTATTTTTCATGCAACACACATTTTTTTTTCTTTCTTCTCTCTTACCGCTACTCAAGCGGCAGCATATTTTAATGTGGTGCATGCAAGGCTTTATTCAGATTTTATGGTTTCATAAGTCACAGAAATGATAATAAGACACTGCTGGAATCTAAATCAGGAGCTTGAAGTGTACAGTAGAGAATAGAGGGGAGCAGTATTTTACTGCTGGTGCTTTTTACACCTCACAATGGCACTAAGCATGGCCACAGCGCCCGTTAGATGTGCCCCCACCTGCAAAGCGCTGCCTTGCTGCCACAGCGAAACAGCTTTCATAAAGTGTAAGGGAAAGCTGGAAATTTTTAAGCAGACGGGAGTCGTAAAAAAAAAAAAAAAATCAGCCTGTCCCATAAGCTGCTACAAGATCTGAAAAGCACGGTCTCCCATAAAACTGCTATAGAGCAGAAAATGAACAAAAGCTAAAGATAGTGTATGCTGCAGGATTCTGCCACAACAGAGGACTACAAATGTGTTTTAATGAATGTCGCTACTACCAAGATGAGGCATCTAATGCCCCTGGTAAATTCTGCATTAAAGTAACGCGTGCCAGGGAAGGTCAATCTAACGGCCATGTTTACCTTTTTGTGTCCAAACCAAGAGGTGCGTTGGCCATCTGCTTCCTGCCTATACTTTAGCAATTAGCTTATGCTAGCACTGTTTAGCAGTATGCCATACTGCACTCCAGTCTCACAAAGTCCTGCAGTCCCTTTGCCTAGGAAAAGGGTATCAGCGAGAAACAGCAGAGCCATTTTTATCTGACATCAAGATGGATGGCTTGATCCACACCCCACACCCTCTGCTTTAGGATATACTGTAGCTATTCCATCTGTCATTTCACACTGAGATTTTGTACCTGTGACAATGTGATCTATGGTGCTGCTGAATATACAAGGAAATTGTAGGAGGTTCTACAGAACAGATGTCTATTAATAATGTGGAAAATAACTGCACATGTCAATTCTTATGTAATAAATATTTTTTTTTCCTGCAGAGCTAAGAGAAACAGCTCAACAGAACAGCCATGTGACCTGTCTATACTGACTGGCAATGTTCTACAACATTTAGCAAAGAGTGAAAACGGTATGTTTGATTGATGGCTTCTGCTGTAATAATACAGAGCACAAGGATTTTATAGGGCATTTTTTTTATCGGTGCATTTATTTAAAAGTAGAGAAACAACTTACATTTGGTCACTACACCTTCGAGATGAATGATGTTGGGGTGATCAAACTGACCCATGATGCTGGCCTCGCTGAGAAAGTCCCGTCTCTGTTTATCAGTGTAACCGGCTTTCAGGGTCTTGATTGCGACATATATTTCCCTTTTACCAGGAACCTTCAGTCGCCCGCTGCACACCTCTCCAAACTCTCCTGCACACAGTGAAAAGGGTTATTATTTATGATATATGCACCAGACATTTAGAGCTTTAATACATTGTGAGAAAGGAGAATAAACAGTTTACTGGCTTCACTTACCTACGCCAATGACTTTCTCAATCTTTATACAAGAAGCATCAATCTCCTTTGCAAATTCCCTGACTGCTTGGTTAGGGTCTTCGTATGTAAATGGATCAACATATGTCTTTACCCCTGCAGAAAAAAAATTTAATTTAAGCCAGAAAGTACAGAACAGTAACAGAGAATAAATTAAATGGAGACAATAATAGTATGAATAATGTGGTGGACACTTAACCCTATAGACCTAGCACGGGCTTGACCAGTAATATGTCCTTGTCGCCCCTTTGCAACAGAGGAAGCCATTTTGCATGTTGCTCCAATATTTTGCCCCATGACTAGGAATCAAACACTCCTGTAGCATAAGGCTTCTTATCTTGCATGTCCAGGGAGGTCACTAGCTTCCATTGAATGGACAGGCTGAATCTTTATTAATTCCTCCAAAAAAATCCACATTCACTGTACATACGTGACGAGTACACTTTAAATGATTTGCAGGTAAATGTAAACACTATAACAATTTATTTTTGCTAGCTGAATTGTTTACACACTAATCAGTACTACTCATTACAAAAACCATTACCTTGGTTTAAATGCTTCTCCTCATCAGCTTCCTGTTTTGCTTTGCTGTACTTACTCCGCCTGTAGAGACAGAAAAATAATCCTTCAGGATACAAGCAAATAATCTTACAGAGACAAAATACCAAGACATATTATCCAAATGGCAAGCTGGGATTTGGTAGGAGAGGGGTCTTTCCAATAAAATAAGAGCCTGTGACTGGCAGCTGCCTTACTACCATCATAAAGCACAACAACCTTATTTGCTGATACTTTTTTCCCCCCAAAGTATAATGATTGCATTTAAAACATAGGTGTTAAAAATGCTCTAAGAAACGATACAGGTTTCCAATTTTTTAAACATTTGTATACATTTCTTTGTGCAAGTAACAATTAATCTTTAGTATAAAGCACTGGTGAAGCTGTTTGTGAAATATTTAGCTATGCATTATGCCAATACTCTTGAAGTTGAAGTTTTTCTAGGTGTCGCATAGTTGTGTATTGTATGTTATGTAATACCTTTTTTTTTTGCACTAACAGTTCATTTTTGAGACAAGCTATCGGGGGCCCACTGCTTGAACTATGTTCTAGAAGGGAGTGGATCTCTCGAAAGCTCATCCTGAAAATTAAACTGTCAGTTCACATAAAAAAAAGTATCACATACTCAAGTGCACTAATACGGCTACTACACTTTCAACACGAGTGGTAGGCAATTTTTTTTTGTATAGAAATGATAATAAATTGAAATCTGCTAAACATACATAGCTAAATATATAAATAACTATATAAGTGACTGCCCTTCCAAATAAGATGCTTTCTTTCCAAAGCGTAGCTTCTGGTAGACAATGTGATATGTAAAAGAATTCTATTCCATGAGACTGCATGCCATTTTCCCACAGGTGAAGGTAGTCCTTCAAGCCAAGCAAAATTCCAGAAAACATTCATGGTCTAAGCCAAGCCACACAGGTCCAGTAGGCAAGTGTTACTGTGTTATCATATCACTTTTGTTTAAATCTGCCATTTAGGAATGTTTCAATCTATTCTGACATCAACATTTAAATAATATATTTAAGTAAATTTGTGATGGATAGAAGAAAGCAATAAAAACAATGTGTAATTATACTGTATCAGAGAGGGCTTTGTCCAAGTGATACAAGATTTCTGATAAAACACTAATTGCAGACTCAGAGCCTGTAATGATGGTTTGGCCATACCACCTTTTGACCTTTTATAACCTGCATGCAGTCTCAGACGTTGCTTACTGCCATTGTCGATTCTTGTCAGCACCTGGACAAGCCAGAGGCAATGTTTGACGCTCACTTTGGGCCACTTTGTTATTAACAAGAGCAATTTGGGTAAAGTTTTTTCAGCTGAAAGATCATGTGAGAAACATTAGCAAATCAGAGGGCATTTGGGCAAGCCTTTGTTCCCAATGAAAAGTTCTGATGGCAAGGCATGGTGAGATTCAAAGTCTTAGTTGTGACAAAAATACTTTCTAGCAACATATGGAAGACCGAGACAGCTGTACAACACCACCCTTTTCAGCAGAGGACTGTACAGGTAAGGTTACACAAGAGTTAATACTTCCCACAGGATTTTTCTGTATACAAAAGGCTGGTATGTGCATGCATTGTGAGACAGCAGATTAGTGTGTGAGATCTCCCGCATACGTCATATCTATACACAATGAAAAAAGGTGTGCCTATCTGACAGGTCTGCTTTGATCAGCCCCTGTGTGACCTTGATTGATGGGCTAAAGGGCAAATCCTACATTAGGGATGGAAGGCCTCAGGATAGTGTCATAACAAACAAGGTTAGCACAGGTAGCAGCCACTACAGGGCCAATGTATGCTGAAGGTTACATAGGGGTCTATTCGCGAAGCTGCCGAAGGATCTAGCCGTAGCTTCGGCCGATCCTTCAGCTAGCTTCAGCCCCAGGACCCCTTCGGTTCAGTAGAACTGAAGGGGTGCTGTACGGGCTATTCACTATAGCCCGTACAGCTCCCGAACGTGGCCGAGCGGCTCAGTCGAGCCTCTCAAGCCGAAGCGAAAACGTTATCAACTTAGAAGGTACAAACAGGTCCTCACATTATACCTTGGCATGACAGCGCTAATCCTGTATGTGAGTACTCCTTAAACCGCTCACCTTTCTACTTTTATAATACAGGAATCCAGTATTCGCAGAGTTAAAAGGAGAATATAAAGCAAGAGGCAGACTGACTCACTTCCACCCCTCAATGCCAGTTTGCATGGTGGAAACTGATTCCAAAAAAACAGCTTTAAGAAATCAGCATTAGAATTAAAGAGAATGAAGCCATGTACAGGGGCGCCAAGCTGCTATGAAACGAAAGAGACACCATCTGCCTTCCTCTCTGTCAGCCGATTACATAACCTCATTAAAGTGCTCAGGAATAAATGTTTGGAACTGTCCAGTGGGCAATGACACGGTGCTAGCAACTGGAAGCCTGTTCCTGGAGATGTCACAGTCCAGAAATGCTTCTAGAAGCTGCCGGGGCCAATAGATCAACCATTTACACTAATGTCAGCCAGAAGAGGGCTGAAATACACAGTATTCACAAAGACAAAACAAGAATAGCAACCTGGGAAGGGAAAAAAGCACTAAAGCCTAACCCATACACAGGCATCATAACTATGGGCTAGAAAATAGCTCATACACGTGTGATTATGATCCATTACTACTGAAAAATGTTATCTACATGATTGCAGACACTTCATTAGGCTAGAACTACACAGGAGATTGATAGTAGTTCTGATATTAATCATCAAGGAACTAAATTGGTCAGTAAATAAATCGCTAGTGGTAGCAACTGATTGCTAAACTGATGGGACACATGGCTTCCTATTCAATAAGAAAACCAAATAGCATGTAGTAGAGATCGTTGTTGCATGATCACATAAGGCTCCAATCATGCCAATGATTGCTACAAGATTCTACAAGTGTAGCCCACTCCGTAGGGAGTCATTTGTTCCATTTATGTAGCAATTTTAGTAGCATGATTGAGCTACTCAAAATCTCCCATGTAGTTCTAGCCTAATAAGGTGACTGACTGCAAGTAGTTAAATCTCCAAGTAGCAAGAGATTAAAACTGCCCATGTAGGTTAGCTCTTAGATGACATCAGTATAAAAGAAAATATAAAATGTGATTTACACTAAGAACCTTACACTGACTACTATGTAACGCACATAAACAGATTTACAACAGAAGAATACTATTAATATCTTATTAACAGCCCTCTCCCATGCCTCCTGTAAAGATTTTACCAAGGAATCTTTCTCAAGCACTCAAACATTCCTGTAACTGAAGACTTATTATTATGGCCAGGAATAGGCTCTTTGCCTTATGTTCTTACATTAAATAAAATGGATTCCGCTCGTAGTAATGTAGCTTAAATTTAGCCAAAAGAAACCTTAAAGGATGGGCTGTATACATTTTCTAATTCTGCATTCAAACATGGTGCCATTTCTTCGGCGTGTTAAGCAGAAGAAAAAAAAAACGTTTGAATTCACATTAGAGGCCACGCGGCTGTCATCTCCCGGCTTTCTGGCTCTGTTCCCGCACAGACAGCTTTATTGTTGACACTAAAGAGGAATCAATGAAAGTCCAAGGGTCGACGTTTCATTTTTATCTAAAGTGATCCACTGAGGACCAATCACGGCTGGCCTACTATCGACCGGAGCCCACCCTCTCCTTTGCCATTAACGAGGGATTGAAATGCGCCGACAATCCCCTGATACAATGATATACTTGGCAACTATCAGTCAAGATTCACTTTTATAATAAAAGTGCTCTAGGCCAATGAAACATTACTAATGTATTATAACAGCTTTTACTGTGACGATGTACCGAGGTGTCTAACCTACAAAGCCAAAGTGTCTGAAAGGCTCTGTGTCAACTAACCAGATCAATCCTTTCATCTTCTAAACAAGATCGCGATTCAGTAAAGGGAAAAAAACTTGTGCAAATCCAAAGTGTTTTGTAAGAAAGTATCTCTATTGCCCATTGTCAATCAAAAGCATACCAGCTGTCATAGCTTCAGTTCAGGTTGACTTAGACACTAAGACAATTTCACTGTGAAACACTTTTGATACAAGGTGCTTATTGTCATCCAACTGCTTGCACAAAGCCTCTAACAAACAGCATTGAAAGAGAAGTCCCAGGAATTAGTGGAATTCATTTTCAATTTGAAACGGGGCTCCCGCTGCAGAAGTCTGGTTTAAATGGCAGCCTGCTTCTGCTGCCTACATGCTGGGGACATTAAAAAAGCTGGTAGGGGTTTGTACTGTGAATGCTATGTTTAGATGCTAATCAGAAAACATGTCTTTGTTTTCTAGTCTGAACTCCTCCTGTAAGAGGAAGGTAATGGGAAAAGGGGGTTTTCAGACAAAAGATGAACTAGGCATAGTTAGAATCCTAAAAATACCTTGCATACTTTCTCAGATGCTACTGAAATAAAAGATAAAACAATATTTTTTATCAAAGAGAAAAAAAAAAGGATTCCAGTCCAACCTGCTTAGCTGGTACACCGTCTTGTCACCATAATAGCAGTCTTTGCTAACAACATTCTAATGCTATTTTACTTCTTAATTTGTCGTGTTTGATGGTCTTTGTTCATCAATTTAGCACAGCGCTTAAATGGAAGGGAATACACTATCTTAAAAGGTTCGTCTACCCAAAACTGATATTTTATTTTGTAGATGTGAGAGTTAAAAAAACTGGCAGCCTCAAAGATAAGTTGTGTTCCCAGGTCTGCACAACTGCTGCGGACATTATGTACAATTATTAACTTATAACAGGGGTAGGCAACTCCAGTCTGGCAATGCCTCATGGGACCTATAGTTCCACAACAGCTGGAGTGCATAAGTTGTCTACCCTTGACCTTCAATAACCAAATCAACTTTCCTCTGTTCATGTTCTCACTCTAAAGTAATAAAAGGTGATATCTGATTGGCTGCTGTGAATTTCACACTATAACATCTGTTTGCACTCTATGATCAGATTAAGAACTACCTATGTTGTCAAAGCACGTATCTATTTTCCCCAAACAAGGTAGATTACTTTAAAAAATAAAAGGTGTTTATGCCAAGTAAAAAAAAGAATAAAAAATAAGAATATGACCATTGTGAGTTTGGGTTACAGTTTTCATTACAATCTCCAAACTACTCATGAACTGAAGAGTTAATTAAACCCGCTTTAGTGTATCATTTAAAAAGCTGGCTTGGATGATGGAAGCAACCTACCTTCTGCTGATGACAAAGGCGGCAATGAGAATGACCACCAACACGATGCTCCCAGCCACAGATACCAACAGCACTGTAGGACTTGCTCCTTCACCGATCATGGGGGACGGGACTGAGGAGAGAAGACAAGTTATATTAGACATATATTATTCACACAATGCAAAGATACAAATTCACGAAAGGGCTTATGGACCCATCGTTTTGACCTCTCTCTCTGTTACTTTAAGACTACACATACTTTACACATGACATAAAACAGACTGATAACAGTTCCAGACTCACCGGTATTAGTGGTGAACTCAAAAGGACCGCTGAACTCTCCGTATCCTGCTGCAGTTCGGGCTCGGACGTGGAAAACATAGGCAGTTAATGGATTAAGACCTTTGATGTCGGCGCTGCGTGTGCCAGTCTTTACAATCCGATAGCTGCGCTCATTCTGATCCTATAGTTAGCAAAAGAAAATGTAAAAAAATGAAAAAAAAAGTAAGAAGTACTCATCACAGCTATGAGATAGATGCATTATAGGAGAAATCATTTCAACAAATTAAACAAAAATTGCTGACAACTACACCAGGTAGACTTCTGTCAAGTGGACAGAAGAAGAGCTTGAAAGAATGGTAACCACGTCTAACCAAAGAATGGTAACCATGACCAAAGTCCCAAACACAGGAAAGAAGAGATTTGATTCTACATTACCTTTTCATAGTACTTGACTTCATACTCTAAGATGACGCCATTGGCACGGTCAGGTTCTGGCCAGGATAAGGACACGCTGTGCCTGGTGATCTCCTTTGGCTGAATCTGTGTTACGGTTGATGGAGCTGCAGAAGACAAATAAGTTGGTGTTACACAATGTTCGAGGTTTACCCTACAAATAAGATAACCATTCAAAAGTAGGGCAAACCAATAACAGTATTCCTTTTTATATATAATGTCCAGTAGATAAAGCCTGACTAAAGCTGGCCACACACTGGTAGGTTTTCAAACGAACCGTCATAAAATCTCGTCAGAACATTTCATATTGCCATCATTTGACTTGACAAACATTGTTACAAATACTCGTATCGTTTTGTATTACATTGATTTTGGAATGAATGGTGTTTCTAAAACCAATACCACATTCACTGTTAGAATTTTGTTTGCTCGAAAAAAAACTACACACCCTGCTCCTTCGATTTTTGTTGCCACTATGGTCAAAATCACTTGTCAGTTAGATCCCATGAACTATTAGAAAATCAAACATTTTTCCTTCAAAATACAACTGGGATATCGCTAGCTTAATTGGCTAAATCCAGTCTCATTTCCATGTGAGAGTGCTGAGGTTGCCTAACCCTGCCATAGGGTATCACCCGCTCTAGCTCCTGCTGATCAGCTAACTGCAACCCATTTCCATAGCCCCAAAATATTTAAAATGACCACATTTTTTTTTTATCAACAAGGAATTAAGGCCTACTTCACAAGCCAATGCTAGAGCAAGACACTTCTGTCTTTCTGCAACTACAACTCCCACTTTACTAGCTCACTGCTGAAAATAACTATGCAGTCATAAGTCAGAAATTAAATCAATTAGGAAATATTAAGCCATTAACCGCCTACCCTCCCAGGGCTCCTCCCTTACTTCTTATGAAGCAAGGGATGTGGCCATCACCTATTTAATTTGAACCAATATAAAACATCACTTTGGGATACGAGCATCGCCCACAATGTAAGATTTAAAGGACTTGTTTCTGAAAACTCAACAAGTACAAATAAAGGCTGAAATACTAAGACCAGGGACATGACACCGACACTGACTCACTAATAACAAAGTCTCCTGATTCAACAACTAATCCTGACACCCAGGTGACTTACAGTGCTAGTAAATAGGTCCAATGTCCCGGGACTCACACAATATAATGACGGCTTGTTGTGATGGAGCATTTTATTGTAATACTCTTCCCATGCAGTAATGGATATACATACATACATTCAGTGCTACCCATGGTATCACAATAGGTCACTGCCCATGACAAATGAGCCTATTATTTGTGATGAGCTATAAGGAAGATAAAGTGACTTGCTCAAGGACAGGCGGAGGTGGAAATAAGACCGTATTTAGCCAATTAATTCTTCATCGACTTTTATTAGAAGCATTTAATAACTTGCGCGACATCCTGAACAGCACTTGTTTACTGGCCTTTGTTCTGCTAACATGCAATCATTATAGGAGTAAGATCAGGATTAATGTGGCCCATGCAAAGGAAATCTTTGCCGATACAAGATTTTCGACATGTCGTAAAATCTTTTTGTGCAACGCTGTTATTGGAGTCATTCATACAGTATCTCAACTCGTACACCAGGGGTAGCCAAACTCTGGCCCTCCAGCTGTTGTGGAACTACAAGTCCCATGAGGCACTACAAGATTCTGACAGCCACAGGCGTGGCTCCCAGAGGCAGAATCATGATGGGATTTGTAGTCTCTTCCCAGCCAGAGGTCCGAGGTACTGCTCCCCATGTTGGGCACGATCATGGCTACCAATAATCAGCCCTCCAGCACTTCTAGCACTACAAGTCCCATCAAGGCATTGCAAGACTCTGGCAGCCACAGGCGTGACGGGATTTGTAGCCTCTTTACTGCTGGAGGTCTGAAGTTCTGCTACCCATGTTGTACACAATCGTGGCTACCAATAATCAGCCCTCCAGCTCTTCTAGAACTACAAGTCCAACAAGGCATTGCAAGACTCTGGCAGCCACAGGCGTGACGGGATTTGTAGCCTCTTTACTGCTGGAGGTCTGAAGTTCTGCTACCCATGTTGTACACAATCGTGGCTACCAATAATCAGCCCTCCAGCTCTTCTAGAACTACAAGTCCAACAAGGCATTGCAAGACTCTGGAAGCCACAGGCATGACTCCCAGAGCCGAATGCATGATGGGATTTGTAGTCTCTTTACAGCTGGAGGTCGGAAGTTCTGCTACCTGTGTCGTACACCATCATGGCTACCAATCAAATTACAAGTGGAAAATGGCTTGTGTATGAAAGTATTTTAGCACTGTAGAAGTGAAACAATAAGAGATCTGGCTCTAATGATTTAGGTCATGTTTTTTATTACATAGGTTTTAGAGGAAATTCGATTTTTTTACCATTGAACACCTGTGCAGTGAAAAGTTGGCTTTAGCGATTTACTAGAAGCGTTTCCTTGGTCTTGGCTCTCAAACAGAAACTGTCAGCATATTAAAAATCTTATAATATGCCCACTAGGCCCTTCCTAAGACAGAAGTCATCATACACGACTGACACTTAAAGGAGAACTATGAGGTGAGTGATTTCCACTCACCTCATAGTTAGAGCCAACCTGTGACAAAGAAGCTGTCACAGGTCGGCTCCATTGATTGGAAAGTGAGCAGAAACATACCGCCGATCCGCTCACTTCCTGACTGTCAGCCAACGCTCCCCGACTGTCAGTCAACGCTCCCTGCAGGGATCCCCCCCTCGGCTCAATAGATCGGCAAGTGAGCAAAAGCATACCGTCGCTCGCTCACTTCTTGATCATCTCCCTGCAGAGAGCGGCAACCTTTAGTCACCGCTCCCCGCACGGATTCCCCCCCTCCCCGCTCCTCCAGTGCTGACTGGAGGACCTGACAGGCGAGGGTGTGGGTACAGCTGGCTCTGCCTCTAGATAGGCAGAGCCAGCTGTCACTCATGCAGCTGGGTGGATCACGACAGTATATAGCGAGCTATAGCTTGCTATATACTGAACTTTGAGTCACGGGAGGAGGTTAGTATATGTCCTCCTGTGACCCTAAAGAGAACTATGGAGAAAAACACTTACCCTACAGTTCTCTTTTAATTCTGAACACCGGGATACACACATGTTGTCTGAATACAAGGGATGTGTTTTCCTATGACGTGTTTTCCTATTCCTTAGGCGTTACTTATGGACGTATGAATATGTGTATTCATAATTTAACATGGGTGAGCCTTGTTTATTTCTTCCAGATCTGTGTGACACCTGGAACTTCCTGTGATAAAGACCAGTCACTGCTGCTCTCTCTTCTTGTGCAGGGTGACTGGTCTTGTCTCCGCCCCCTCCGATAGTTGTCTGCAGGCAGCCTGTAGTGGGTAAGGCCTGCTGGGCCCCTCCCACAGCATTTCTCTTTGCAAAGGCTATGTACAGCCCAGGGATGACATTGCTGCTACTTTTACAAAGTAATATCTGTTTTTTCAAAACCATTTGGTGCACACAAAGTGGATATATACCCTTTGTGGTTACTGTGGAATATACTTAAACAAAAGTTGTGTCCCTGTTAGAGAGATGCACCCTCTCTATTTGTTTTGGGGACCGGTTATTACTGAAAGTAAAAACAAAATTTAAAATTTTGGGTAGATAGATGGGAAATACAATGGGGGCACTGGTTCTGGTGACCCTGCTGACCACCAGGAATTTCCTTTCACTTCCTGTTGTCGCTATCAGAAAAGGAAGTGAAGGGAAATGTCCCCAATGGGACCTTGATGACAGAAAAAAGCTGACTAGGGTTATAACTATCTCTTATGCTATCCAAAACCTTGGATGCATTAGACCAGTAGTAGCCAAACCTCCATCTGTGGTGAAACTACAAATCCTATTATGCCTTTGCATCTGGCAGTCATGCCTGTGGCCATCAGAGACTTGCAATGCCTAATGGGATTTGTAGTTTCACCACAGCTGCAGGATTGAAATTAGACTAAAGACACATATATCCACACATTCACATTACTGTTGAGTGCATTTTTAATTGTAAAGCAATATGTTGCCTGGCATTTCCCATTTCCTCATGCATATAAAACTCTCACGTTAATGGCTGCTATGTGTTATGTGACACCTCGCAGAAAGGAGTATGTTAATGTCCGCCATTTGGGACAGATTGCATCTTGTAAGTCATTTTTCAGATAAGACTTCTATGGTGAGAACAGGGCGAGCTCTTTAAAGAGCCTGACACAGTCCTGCTTGTGGTTTTTATTGGAGCAATCTAGCAGGTATGCGGTCTGTCCTGCAGCAAAGTCCCAGGTTTGATGTGTTCATCAAAGCTCAGGGGTGAGGTGTCTCAGAGTGAGCAGATCCAGATCTGATGCTCACTTCCGCACACACACTGCCTATTAAACGCCTAGCACCAGTTTTACTAGTACCATCAGCTTGCTTGATGACATACCCAGTGGCAGTACAAGGCCAGCTACAAAGCCTGGCTACCCTCCTCCCAGGTGCTATAAAATGTGTTTCCTGACCATGGATTGCAGCTGAGCAGAACAGGCCCGGGCCTCCTCACAGTCTTCAATGAAGACAAGAGATGCTGGGGAGGAAGTAAACAGCTGCAATTAAAGTCCCCCCAGGCTCCAGGCAATTACAAGAGAAGCAGGTCTTTGTGCGGGAGCCTGTAACCTGACCTGGACCAGCAAAATATACCGAGCCCAGCAAGATCAATCCAAAACAATGCAAAATCCGCAATAGTGAGATCTCCTGAATCACTCAGTGCTGCAAACTGTATTCTGTATAACAGAGGAAACGTATTGCATATTGTCAGTGATTGCATATTCTGACATCTGGTATTAACATTAAAGCAATTTTATAAGTGACTTTCCCCAAGGATTTGCTATTGTGTAAATATAGAGATTAGCCACTAGAGGGAGCTCTCAGTGGCTCAGTGGAAATTCTTTGGCCCAGCTTAAAGGGAAATTCTGCCTTTTAGAAAACAAAATAATAAATGCACACTTCTTCATCAAAAATGTGCATTATATTATTACTTTATTCTTATTTGCATAGGAGAAAGTAGAGCATTGCAACCATGATCAGTTGATAGTGGGTGCAA